TACACGGGCCTCTCACTGTCGTGGCCTCTCCCGTTGCGGAGCACAGGCTCCGGACGCGCAGGCCCAGCGGCCACGGCTCACGGGCCCAGCCGCTCCGCGGCACGTGGGATCTTCCCGGACCAGGGCACGAACCCGCGTCCCCTGCATCGGCAGGCCGACTCTCAACCACTGCGCCACCAGGGAAGCCCAACTTTGGCAAATTTTATTCTTTAATACTACACTGATGGCCTGGATCAGGGAGGAGGGAAGAGGGAGGTTCAGGGGCAGGTGACTCGCCTTCGTCCTGAGAGGGGTATACAGGGTGGGCCGAGGGAGAGAAGACTGGGGCGTCCTGACAAGAAGTAGCAGATCTCACCGGGCCTGGGTTTCTCCATCTGTGAAAAATCATCTTTGCCCAACGTACATGTGACTAGCAGGCTTACTGCAGTTGGAGCAGTCACGGATGTTCCGCTGGCCTGAAAAAGCCACAGGGGAGCTACTGAAATCAGGAGGTGGGAGTTAAGGGGTTCTTCCAAGAGAGGAGACCTGTCCTGGAGGGTCAGGGCGGGGCAGAAGGAAAAGCGCAGGGCCGGCAGAGAACACGCCTCAGCCTCGTGCACACACCCAGGTGTGGACAAGGGTGAGTCTGGGTTGACGTGTTTAGGAAGCTGGGGGGAGTGGCGAGTACCCAGTCCCTTGTCACGTGCCGTAGAGGGTCTCCAGGAGACAGAGGGGTGGTGAAAAGCTTCTACTCCATTCATGCACCAAGGAAACAGCCAGAAGCTGGGGCGCAGGCTGAGCCCGGGCTGATCACCAGCCGAGGAGCCCTGGGCACGGGGCGGGGGCTCTGTGCTTAGAGTCTCTGAGCAAAGTCCCGCCAAGCCCACACAGTGAGCTTAAACTAAGGGGCCCCACCGCTCTCTGACACCTCGGAGGTCCTTGACCCCCTCTCGCGGACCCAGGAAATGAAAGGAGGACAGGGAGCACCCTGCCAGCCTAAGTGACGCCCTCAGAGAATGCAAGTTCCCCGAGGGCACGACCGCTGTCTGCCTTGATCATTGTTGCATTCCCAGGGCTTAGCACAGGGGCTGGCACAGGGTGGGCCTCAAACAGTTGATGAACAAATGAAAGAAGTCGGGCCCAAAAAGGACTTGGGGGAACCAACTTGACGTGCATCCTCTTCTCACTTCTGTCCTTAAACTGCGGCTCCTGCCTTCTATTCATCTTGGGTTTCACCTGGGAAGGGAGGGCCTTGCAGTATCTCCTCGCAGCCACAGGGAAGAGAGCGCGGCCCGTCCTGGGGCTGAGGCTCAGTCCTTCCCGCTGACTGACAGCGGACTTCCTGCGGTGTGGGGTGAGGGCTACAGACTGCTGGACCTCGGGTCGCCTCGTGCCGGTCCCCGAGGGACTGAGGGAGAAGCTGAAGTGGTCAACATGTTTCTGGACTTGGGGCGTTCCTGGTCCAAAAGGCAGAAAGCCACCGTCTGAAGTTTAAAGCACCAGCTGAAGCAGGCTAAGGCCCTCAGGTGTAAAGGACTCTCATACAATGGCAGGCCACCCCTTTGTCCTGCCAGAGCCTCTGAAGCAGCCTCATGGCAGAGCCTCCGACTTTCGATTTTCCCCTAACGTCCGTTCTCCCATGGCAGCCGGGGAGTTTCCCCTGCTCAGAATCCCCCACAAGCTCCATTAGTTGTAGAATAACATCCCCTCGGCATGGCTCAGCACCGTTTGGCTCTGGCTTCCCTGTCCAATGTCAACCTGGACCTGCTGGGAAAGGCTCCCAAGGAACACTGCTGCTACCTGTCCCTGGAACCCAAGATCTTCAGAAGGTTGAAACTTTAACGACTTTTGGTCTAAATTCAAAACCCCAAGCCAGCTTAGCCAAGGACACCTACCCAATCGCTATCACATCACCTTGTTTTATTTTCTTCACAGAACTTGTCATGTTCTCGAAATGATCTTGCTTCCTAATTTTTTGTTAGGTTATAATCTGTCTCTCTTTAACTGGAACACAAGCTTCACAGGACAGGTACCCTGTCCATCTCGAATCCTCAGCACCAGGAGTCAAAATGGCTGTTTAATAAATATTTGGGTTAGAGGATGGAAGGAGAGATCAGAATTAAGTGGGCTCAATCCAAGAGGTCTTCCTGGGAGTAGTTCAAGCAAAGCGTGCACAGGGCAGAGGGTGGGCGGTGAAGGAAGGAACCAGACCTGCTGGGCAACATGATTGCTTTCTTGGGTGTGACCCTAACCCTGGCAGAGGGAGGACAGGACGGGACGGGGATGTCCTGGGCTCTGCCCCCCCAGTAGCCCACACCCCAGCCCCCTTTCTCTCCAATGATTCTAGGCTTTTCACCTAGATATTCGCCAAGACCCTGAGGCCCCAGTGTGCATCCCTTCAAATCCCCCATTCCTTCCCTGAACCCAGGAGGCTGGCTCCCCGCCCCTAGGTGTGTCTGTAATGTGGCAATCAAGGCTGGGCCTGGCCTCCTACCCACACTCAAGTTCTGGCAGATTTGGGGTGGGGTGGGCGAAGGCCTTTAGGAAAACAGGGGTTTACTGGTATTCTCGGAGTGGGAACTAGATCAAGCAGACTTGGAGCTGGGGTGACGCAGAGCCAGGCTCGGTGCCTCTGTCCGACTCTACTAACCCTCTGTGATGCAGCCGACGCTGAATCCCAGGTAGATTCTCCTGCCACCCATTACTCCAACCGCTGGGACCCTCTGCCAGTGAGGATCCCCCTACCCTCTCTTCCCCAGCCTGCCCAACCACTGGACACTGGACACTCGGGGAACACAAACTGGACACTCGGGGAACACTCACTGAGGCAGTTTAGGTGGGGGAAGGGGAGGGAACTGGGAGAGACACACTAGACTCTAGATTAGCATTTACAGCATAAACCATGTAAAGCCAAAATTACCCTTGAAAGTCCATCAGGATGGTGCCAAATGGAGATTGATCATAAGTCTAGCACAGCCAGTTTTTTTCCTCCAGAAAAAGAACAGAATTCCTTTGGTTGTGCACATGAAGTGATAGGCTTGTATTTAGAGGCATTATATAGAAGAACCCATCTTTAAACACTAGAACTTCAAACACTATAGCTAGAAGACTTTTAAGCACACACTTGCTGTGACAAGATGCTCATACTATAAGAGGCATCTGGAATCTGAGGCAATCACAGGTTCACCCTGAGACGTATGCTCATTGAGTACCATTAATCTCTCAGTTCTCGGTTTTCATTTGGCAAGAGCATAGTTTAACCCACTGAAATTAATGCATGTCTGCTCAGAGCTGCCACCTATGGCTGTGCAGGCTGCACACCACAAAAGGACACCTGGTCGAGAGGACAAAAGGGGGTTAACCGCAGCCTTGCCCCCCGACTCTCAGGGCGTGGGTCTAATTCATACAGGGCGCTAGGTGGGCTGGCCGAGGCCCTTGGTAGGACACAGTACAGCAAAGGGGCAATACAGGTGCAGCCTCAGGAACTCTGGGGTTCTAACACTGGCCTTGCCACACCCTGGCTGTGTGACCTAGGGTGAGTTATTTAACGTCTATGTGCTGTGGCTCCCCTGCCTACAGAATGTGGATAATTGTTAATACCTGCCTCACAGAAGCACTGTGCTATTTCAGTGAGATCATGCATTTAGAAGACCCAGCACAAGGCCTGCCACAGAGTACGACATCAATAAATTGGCCAACATTATTATTAGCAGCATTAGCATGAGGCGGAAGGGGGAACAGGGAAATGAGTTTGTTGGAAGAGAAAGCTGGAGCCCAGCAGATGACGGCGTTGGGCTCATCTGTTGCTCTGGAGTTACCCAGAACTCCTGAAGTGCTCCTCCACTAGCAGGTCTGACTGGACTTCATCACTGAAAATCAGCTCTCCTTTGCTGATCTTTCATTCCGCTCATTCTTCATTCCACTTCATTCACGGCTGACGCTACGCTGACAGAACGGTGGTTAATGAGCTCTTTCAGTCCCTGTTAATGAACTGGTGAGAATTCATTACACATAAAAACTCGTGTCCTCCAGGAAAACCTTTTGGGGAGGCGCTCCACCCATCTGTCATTTCCTCACTCGTCCCCTCTAGGAACACCAGCCTTGCGTGACATCTGCGTGACATGGTCATCTGTGCTTGGCGAGTTTTCCTCAAGCACCGCCTCCTCAGGTGGCTCTGTGAAAGGGGAGGTGCCGTTCGAAAAACGGAGGAGGCTTCCTGAGGCTAAAGAGGACCAGGATGTCGGGGACCGGGGAGTGGGGGCAGGAGAAGAATCGAGCTGAAGTGCCAGCTTCTGGGGTTCGTGAAGACTGTTGGTGGATAAGATCCAGCCCGCTACGCCTCCAGGACTGTTATCTCTGTGTATCGCATCAGGATGGGGTAAAGGGCACACGTTGACATGAGGTCTTGCTTTGTCCTGGCAGCACCCGTCTATGTTCCAGCACCTCCCTATTACACCAGGAACCGGTTGGGCCACCTGAGCCTCAGTTGTGGAGAACGCTACTCGATTAGGGTGTTTTGTCACTTTGAGGTGATACAACTGCCAAGCTGGGGGAGTGGGGTGGGGAGCAGAATAAGCCCAACGAAATGGTGTAGGTGCTCAAAGTTCAGGACCTAGAGCCCAACTGGGTAGCTCTAAGACCTATTTTTGCTTTTCTGTGTTTCTCTATTCTTTTTTTAAATTTTTGGCTGCGTTGGGTCTTCATTGCTGCACAGGCTTTCTCTAGTTGCGGCACATGGGCTCAGCAGTTGTGGTTTGGGGGCTCATAGAGCTCAGGCTCGGTGGTTGTGGTGCACGGGCGTAGCTGCTTTGCGGCATGTGGGATCTTCCCTGACCAGGGATCGAACCCGTGTCCCTTGCGTTGGCGGGCAGATTCTTAACCACTGCACCACCAGGGAAGTCCCCGTGTTTCTCTATTCTTTGTCTTCTTAGCTCAAGACAGTTACCTCTCTGAAGACCCAAGAGTATAAGATGGGCAGCTGGATAATGGGTCCGGCCCCAAAGGAAGAAAGCGCACAGCTCGGTGGAAGGATGCTTGAATTCTAAGATATCCAACGTAGCGTATGTTGAATCCACCTCCACTGTGTAAGGGCATGGTGCTAGGGCATGGTGATGTAAAGGTGATTAAGACATAGTTCCTGACCTCAAGAACTTGATATTCTAAGAGGGAAGAACACAAGTTACTCTAGGTACAATGCCAGAGAGATACAAATGAATCGCTATGGCAATTACGAGAAGGGAAAAGTGTGGGAAGCGGGATGACAGATGATGGGAGACATCCGGGAAGCTTAATCCAGGATGGATGTTGGGTCCTGAGAACAAGAGATGAGAGAAGGGCATTTTAGGCATAAGGGGTAGCATGGGCAGCTGCTTGGAGGAGGAAAAAGAAGGATATCTTTGGTAAGGAGTCCAGTTTGGCCAGAATGTGAAATATGTGCAAAGGGAATGAAAGAAGGAAAAGTTAGAAGGGTGGGTTGAGGTCAGAGTATGGAAGGCCTTCAATGCCAGTATAGGGAGATTATTTTATTTGATTTTATTTTTTGCGGCACGCAGGCCTCTCACTGCTGTGGCCTCTCCTGTCGCGGAGCACAGGCTCCGGACGCGCAGGCTCAGCGGCCATGGCTCACGGGCCCAGCCGCTCCGCGGCATGTGGGATCCTCCCAGACCGGGGCACGAACCCGTGTCCCCTGCGTCGGCAGGCAGACTCTCAACCACTGCGCCACCAGGGAAGCCCCAGTATAGGGAGTTTAGACAGAATTGGATAGGGTGGGGAAAAGCCTGAATTATAAGAGAGGAACGAAGAGATATAAGGAAAAGTGACAAAGACAAAAGGAGAGGTTGCTTGGGTGCCATGGCCAGTCCCTGGGAGGGACAGGCCCAACCTGTCTTCATCTCAGCTCCATTTGCATGAAGAACCCCATTGCCAGCCTACCTTCCAAGTGCCCAGGGCAGAATGTGAATTGAGAAATCCAAGGTAAGTGGGAAACAGTCCACACCTCCCCTTCCCAGAGCCCCAGGGGTGGGCGACAGGATCTGGGGGTGAGTCAGTAGGGTGGGGACCCCAGTTCTGTTCAGATCTGCCTCCCTGGGAATATAAAGGGCAAGCCTTGCCTTGCCTCAGAACACCCCAAACTTGACACCATGAAGATCCCAGTTCTTGCTGCTGTGGTTCTTCTCTCTCTCCTGGCGTTCCACTCTGCTCAGGGGGCTGCCCTGGGCAGTTCTGAGGTGAGCACGTCACCTGGGTTCTCTTTCTCTTATACCTATTAGCTGACTCAATCAGTCACTGGATAAGTGGCTCTTATCTTTGGCTATTACCAGGGGCTGAATGAGAAGCTGGGGCTCTGAGGAAGGGAAGAAAGGAGGAAGGAGACAAAGCATTCCTGGGAAGGGGCAGAGAGGCTTATATTTCTGGAAAGGATGGTAAAGTGTCGGGTAGAGGCTGGACATCCTGAGAGGAGACAGGGCCTGAAGTTGGTCGTCTGGGTTCAGCCCCACATCTGTTTTGTTTGTATCCCTGGGAGTGGCTCTCAGGTGGCTAGAAGCGCCCTCCTACCTCTGGAGCTTAGGCCATATCAAGAATCCTTAGGAGCCAGTCTCCAGCCAGGAAAAATCCTGAGGTCCCTCTCTCCCCACCTTATCTCTCCCCACCTTATCGCACTGTGAGGGGGATGGGGAAATGCCCATGCTGGATTCGCAAGTCTACGATAGGGGTCACAGACTCCACTGCTTAGTATCCCAGCAAGTGATGTCGGTGTGCAAGAGGGCTGGTGGGGCCTCAGGGGAGGTGGAGTGAATTTGCCCAACCTGGAAGGGGACAGTCTCTATGCCACCTGACTGCTGCTAAGTGGGAAAATGTACCCAGTGTGGCCGGAGTTTAAAAATTTTCAAGAGAACCTGGAAATCGGATTTCTGAATTCTTACTAATTAAAAACCTTTAATTCAAATTGAAAAACAAACAAACCAAATTGCGATGAGATCTAAACATTTGGGTCTAGGCTGTAGGCTACCTGTTTGTGACCTCTGTTGTGGGAAGGAAGAAATGAGGGGCAATGAGGCTGGGCAGCTGAGGTCGGGACGGCAACAGATCGGAGGCACTGAAGTCCGGGGGTGGGAGGTGGGCTTCCCAGCTGGAGCAGGGAGACGGAGACTCAGACTTTGGTGGCAATTCAAGTCACAAAGCAAACCGACCTCCAGCAAGTAAAGGCAGACAGGGCACCTCAGAAACTTGGCCCCCACCTGCCTTCCAATCTCCCGCGCCCAGCTCCGTGGGCTGAGCGTGGGTGTCTCGGGAACACCCCGAGTCCACGGCAGAACCGCACTAGCTCGTTTTTCTTGGGAGGAATCCTCTTTCTCCGCCCTCTCCTCCTGCTGCCAACGGTGGATGTGGGCCTGGGCTCCGACTTCTCTGTCTCCCCCGTGCCACTCTCCCATCCCTTCTCGACACGTGCACATCTGTCAATCATCCGCCACACTGGGACACAGTGGGTTAACGGAGGCCCCGTGGTGGACAATGGGATTGGCCTGTGGAGGGAAGCAGAGCTGGCAGAGAGGGTTTGGGGAAGGGGATTTGCCATCATGTGATCGATCATTTGTCCCCTTTCTCCCCTTCGCTTTCCAGGAAGGGATCACCATGGGTAATGATGCGACAGGACTCAAGGAGGTAACCCACCTGTTTTCCCACCATCTGATTACGAGTTCGTCCCCCATCTGTTCATGTTCCTAAATAACTTTCTGAACACCCTGTTTCTTTGCCTAGACCACTTATGCCCAGTTTCCAAACATTGACAAATTGCGATCTGTAAGTTTAATTCTTTAATTCGGCCCCCATAAATATCCATATCCTAAAAGAGATCGATGCCTGGGTAGAGAGCTTGCAGAGCTGTCATGGTCCTTCACCTTTCCCAGAGGGCTAGGGGCTAAGCTCTGTCCTTCCCTGGAACTGATCCTCTTTTGGTCTCTTTCTCTCTCTGCAAAGGTTCCTGAGGCTGATGATTTCCTGAACTGGCACGCCATCCTCCAGGTAAGCACTTGGGCACCCTATTTCTCCTGACGGTTTGTCCGGGTAGTGGCAACGCATTCTAGTCTAGCCCTTTTGGTTCTTTCCTGGGCTCTAGGAGGGAGTAACTGTTCCACTTAGATGCTGCCCAACTGAAGAAAACTTCCCGGGGAGGCTGTCGTGGCCAGACCTTATTTTCCTAACGTGGCCCACAAAGACAATCTCTGAGAAGGAAGATCTTAATCAGTCAAGAGCTTATTCGAATCCCCTCATCCTCCAGGAAGAAACTGAGGTTCTAAGTTGGCTAACTTACCCAAGCTTAGAAGGCTAAGTCAGTGGTAGCGCTGGAATTAGAGCCTGTAAGTGCGTGACCCGCACATACTCGCTACATGCCCTCTTGCAAATGTCTTCACTTCTCTGAGCCACGGTTGCCTCCTCTGTGATGTGGGGACGACGACAGTACCAACATCAAAAGACTGCTCTGAAGACCAAATGAAATCATGCCTGTAAAGCAGTCAGTATAAGGCAGGCACAGAAGAGCTCAGGAAATATTAATGCTTTTACTGTAATTATAGAACAATGACACCGTCACCGCTACCGAGAGCTCTTCAGCAAGCGCTTACGGATCCATGCTCACCTGACCTGTAACACATCACTCTCATTCTCTTTTTCTGTTTTAGTCTGTCAAAAGGAAACTTCCTTTCTTCAACTGGGATGCTTTTCCTAAGGTAAGAGGCAGTGGGCATTAGGAGAGAAAGGAGGCTGGGGGTGAGGGGAAAAGCAGAGGATCTCAGTGGGAGAGTGGGGAAAGTGAAAGGAGGATAAACCTTCTGATCAAAGCTAAGTAAATCACACAGAGAAAGACCAATATCATATGATATCACTTATATGTGGGATCTAAAAAAAGGCTACAAGTGAACTTACCTACAAAACAGAAATAGAGTTACAGATGTAGAAAATAAACTTATGGTTACCCGGGGCAGGGGTAAAGGTATGGAGGGATAAATTGGGAGATCGGGATTGACATATACATACACACTACTATATATAAAATAGATAACTAATACAGACCTACTGTATAGCACAGGGAATTCTACTCAACACTCTGTAATGGCCTATATGGGAAAAGAATCTAAAAAAAGAGTGGGTATATGTATATGTATAACTGATTCACTTTGCTGTACACCTGAAACTAACACAACATTGTAAATCAACTATACTCCAATAAAGATTAAGAAAAACAAAGCTAAGGGAAATCGCAACTACGATAACTCAGAGGAGAACAGGAACTTAGACTGGGGCAGAGATCCCTTTCCACCAGGCCCCCACCCTATCCTGGGCTTTCTTAGGACTCCGGCTCCCCGCATCCAAGGGTCTCCAAACTGACCGTACCCTCTCTCCCCACAGCTGAGAGGAATGACGGGCGCAGCTGCCGATGCCCAATGACCAACCCCTTCGAGACCCAGCACTGTTGATACCACTGAAAGAGGGGGCCAGTGTGGGATCTGATCACCATCCTGTCTATGATCACTCTTTGCTGCCTCAGTAACTCCAATAAAATGTTTTCCAAACAGACGGCTCCTGTATCTGCATCTCTGTCCTTATCCTACTGGGCTCTAGAAAGGAATTAAGATGGAGTGGGCTCCAAGGCTGATAGGCAGAAATCTTGACTTCTGAGAGGGTAGTAAGTAGTGAGACAGGAGAAAGTGGGAAGGGCAGGTATATCAGGCTGGCAAGAGACCCCTTGTGTCTTAGCACCTTAGTACTAGTTGATATCCTTGAGAAGCATGAAGCTGTGAGTGGTTTGGTAACATCCCCAAGGAAGCAGTCCTGCCCCCTGAACTCCTGGCACCCTCCTGACCAGCCTTCTGGGAACCTGATTCCTTTGATGGTGGCAATTTGGTATAACAGAGCTATCTGGAATCCAAGGCTCAGGACCCAGCTTAAATCATAAGAGCTCATCTGAAATCGTTTTTTTAAAATTAGGTAGGTTATAAATAAAGAAAACTGGTGGTGTGACCCTGGGTCTTTCTAAGCCTCCTTTCTTTATCTGTGAAATGAGTGTGGAAATAAACAAGAATGATAATAACTGCCTTGAAGTTTTGTCATGAAAGTCAAATGAGATAAGGTATATAAAGCCCTTTGCACAGGGCCAGGCGTAGAGTAGCTACTCAACAATTGCTTGTTTTCTCCACTAACCGCCCCCCTCTCCCAGAGCTACCACTCATTATTCACTCACTCACTCACCAATCCATCCATCCATCCATCCATCCATCCATCCATCCATCCATCCATTTACCGGAAAGGTCTAGAAACGTGGAATGGATTCAGTTTCAGTTCCTGCAGGTGTACTGTGTCTTGGAAATTGTGTTCTGTGTGCCTCTCTGTGTACTTAAAATTTTGAATTAGTTGGGATTATTTCTGGTTCCTCTTGAAAACTGGGAAAATGAGAAAACAAGGGGCCCGCGATTGGCTTAAATCCAAGTAATAGCTGCCCTCTTTACATAGGATGTGGTCTCCAGATCAGCAAAGTTCCACTTGTCAAGTTTCATTTATTTAATTGTCTTTTGGCTCTTAAAAGCAACTGAATTTGCAAATTATGGCCTGTAGCCTACTTGAAGTGGTAGACTACATAGGGAAATTAAACTTGTGTAGGGGGAGGAAAAACTTCCTTCTACCCTCTTACATTCTGCAGCTGGCCTAATAATTAAACTGACATGAGACAGATGAACAGGAGAAAAGCATACAAATTTAATTTTTTTTTTTTTTTTACATATACACAGGTGTCTTCACAGAAGGAAAATGAAGACCCAAAGAAGTTGTTAGGTCCAGAAGCCTGTAAGGTATATACCTTTTTACAAAAAGAATGATAAATTGTGGGGATGTGACAAAGCAAAGGCCCTTGGACTAGGGGCAATAAATCGTGGCTCAGTGACTAGGAGGTATGTGAGGGAAACTAATGGAAGGTAAGGGTTATTGTAGTAAGTTTGCTTATACAGACCGGAGTCAACTCCCAGTCTCTGATGATAAGAATGTTCTCTTCCTGGTACAGGGAGGGCACCTTTCTCAAGGAAAAATTTACATCCTGCTCTTACATAGAAAGGGGGAGAGCCCTTCCTGTATCTGCTGTTTCACAAGTGTCTTCAGCTCAAAATGATCAGTAATCAATAATTAAAGATGAATATTTTGGGGTGGCATGTTCTGAATCCCTTCACTTGGTTCCAGCTTTCAAGGAGCTTAAAGTCTAGATGAATAAGACATGTAAGTGTTGTTTATACCCATCCTTCTAGTTAACTTACAAGAGACACACACACACTAACGAGAAGCAACTTATAAATGGGCTCATTAACGGAAAAGAAAAAAATGGAAAGTGGTCAAATGTCACAATCAATTAAAATATTTAGCAAAGACTGAGTGCTCATAAACTGGGTGATAGGAAATGGAGTAGAGGAAGGAGGGGAAGTCCTTAAGCTACATTTATTGAGTGGCTAGGTTTTAGGGGAGGATACAAGTCATCACAGAGAAGGCAAGAGTACCTTTGAGATAAAGCAGTTCTCAAAGTGTAGTCCTGGCATCAGCAGCAACAGAACCACAGGAGAATTTCGGAGAAGCACAAATTCTTGGGCTCTACCCCAGATCTACTAAAGCAGAAACTGGGCGCGGGGCCCAGCAATCCATGTCTTAACAAGCTCTCTAGGTGAGGCTAACGGCTTGAGAACCACCAAGAAAGGAAAGCAAGAGAATGATTAATGTAAAATTCAGGATAGTGGTTTCCTCGTAGGTGGAGAGACCATCAGGTGACAGGGAAGGGGCACGGGGAGGCGGATGGAAGTGACAGAAGGCTTCTATTATTAATGTTTTAATTTTTTCCTTAAACATATCAGAGGGAAGGAAAAAATATCTTTTCCTTCTACCCTTCGAGGTTCTTGGCTGGGTCTCTGTGACGAAAGACAGGTTAACAGGAGCAAAGCATACAAATTTATCTAGTATAAGTTTTACGTGACATGGGAGCAATCGTAAGTAAACGCAGACCCGAAGAAGCTGTCAAACCTGTACGTTTGGGCTTCCCTGGTGGCGCCGTGGTTGAGAGTCCGCCTGCCGATGCAGGGGACACGGGTTCGTGCCCTTCCCGGTCCGGGAAGATCCCACATGCCGCGGAGCGGCTGGGCCCGTGAGCCATGGCCGCTGAGCCTGCGCGTCCGGAGCCTGTGGTCCGCAACGGGAGAGGCCACAACAGTGAGAGGCCTGCGTACCGCAAAAAAAAAGAAAAAAAAACCCTGTACGTTTTTGTGCTAGGTTTGATGGAGAGTGGGGAGTCATGGGAAAACGTGATAGGACAAAAGGGATATGAGCTCAGTGTAGGAAACTGGGGAAACTTAGCAAGGTATGTTCACTAAGATTCCTCTTGGGGGGGGTCCCTCTATCTTCGAGACAAGGATGATCCTTTCCCCTGGGAAGAGGGAGGGCCCTTCTCACATGAGGGTCTTATGACTTGCTTCTAGGGAACGTCAGTGAGCCCTTCCTGCACCTATTTTCTCGAATTCCTTCAGCTTGAAATATTCAATACGCTAAGGCACCATATTTTGGGGTAGGGTGTCCTGAACCCCGCCAATACGCATTTTATACATACTTATGTATGCAGCATTCCACACCAATATATTACCAAAACAGGAAAATGTCTTTGAGTAATTTGTGAGTGCTGAAGGGATGCAGAGTAAAGAAACAGTTGGAGTCTAGGAAGACTGGAATCTGGAGGAAAAGAACTTGCAGACATGCTTGTGTAAGCGGGTTATGGATGTACTCTAGATCAAATGAAACGGACAAAAATGTACCAACATGGGTGAGATAGCTCAGAGGATTCAAAGAACAGAAGACAAGATACCTGTTCTCTCTGGGGAATGTGTAGGATGAGAAAGAAGCCAAGAAGTAGCCATATTTCACTCTACATTTTATAAAAACAACCAACGCATTCTGTGTGGACATTATGCCACTCATTAAATAGGATGTAGAGATATATGTTGAAATATGGAACAATCTCGAAGATATAGTAGAAGGAAAAAAAAAAGGGGGGCAGAGCAGTGTGAATAGTATGTTAGAAAAAAAGATGGTACAAATATATGCTCTTATATGCATAAAGTATCTCTAGAATAAAACTCAGCAAGTAACAGTGATCACCTCTGTGGACTCATGTACTCGCACTCTGTGCCCTTTTGGATTTTATGAAAAGAATTCTTTTTACCATGTGTACATATTCAAAAGGATAAAGTAAAAAAACACAAAACCTTAATAAAAGAAACGCACCAAAAAACCTTCTACATTTTAAGGTGTCAGGGCCTAGCCCGTGAACTGGTCCTGAGTAGGCACTTCTTACTGAGTGAATGATATGGATTTCCCATACATTTACTACACCCTTCTGCTACTCAGAGTGTGGTCCTTGGACCAGAAGCATTAGCACCACTTGGGCTTGTGAGAAAGCAGAATCTCAGCCCACCCCAGAGCCAATGAATCAGAATATGCATTTTTATTTTTATTTATTTATTTATTTATTTTTTTGCGGTAGGCGGGCCTCTCACTGTTGTGGTCTCTCCCATTGCGGAGCACAGGCTCCGGACGCGCAGGCTCAGCGACCATGGCTCACGGGCCCAACCACTCCGCGGCATGTGGGATATTCCCGGACCGGGGCACGAACCCGTGTCCCCCGCATCGGCAGGCAGACTCTCAACCACTGCGCCACCAGGGAAGCCCCAGAGTATGCATTTTAAAAAGACCTTCCCTGCCCACCCCCATAGGATTCAAATGCACAGTGAAGTCTGAGAAATACTGACTGCCTGAGGCATTATGTTAAGTGCTGTGCAGAATGCCTTCAAGGAGCTTCTGATCCAGCTGCAGTTAAAGGAAGTGCATAGGTAGAAAGCGCGGGATACAACTAGAAAAGATGCATTTAGATTCAGCAGAAGGGAGAAATTCTTTTGGAGTCAGGGTAAAAATACTAGGGGAGGGACTTCTCTGGCGGTCCAGTGGTTAAGACTCTGCGCTTCCACTGCAGGGGGCGTGGGTTCATATCTGGTCAGTATGAACTAAGATCTGAGATCTTAGTTTGAACTAAGATCCCACATGCTGTGCTGCGCGGCCAAAAACAAACGAACAAACAAAACCCCTCCAAAAACTAGGGGAAGTAACTTTTGAGCTGGGCATTGAAGAATATTTGAAAAATATTTTTTTAAAAAGTGTGCTTTTGTTCTTTTGGAGCAAGGGGGAGGACGGTGGAGGGTCCCCCCCAGCAGGCAGAGCATAAATGCGGAACTGGTAGTGCAGCATACTGAATTGGGGACATTGTAATTCAGCCTGGCTACGCGGGGTAGGGGCGGCTGGAAATGCAGGTTGGGTCTGATGATGGAGGGCCATGGATACAAGGCTGAGAAATTTCCACCCCATCCCTCGGTCAG